TCGAGGCTGGTGGTTGTGGTTGCTATTTAGCTTCCTATTTTCCTTTGGACTCCAATCCCTTTATTGACGAAGGCGCTGATACCGGTATTACTTTATCGATCAGGAACATCTCTTTTGCAGCATGTTGTTCCCCATACATCGTTTTTACTCCATCCGGTGTTGGGAACTTCATCATTTGGTGAAGGGTTGAGGGGACCGCCCTCATGTTATGAATCCAGGGTGTTCCGAGTAGTGCGTTGTATCTCATATCGCCCTCGATCACATGGAACTTTGTTTCTTGAATAGTTCCGGCTACATTTACTGGTAGGGTGATTTCACCCTTAGTTGTTTCACTCGCCATGTTGAAGCCATTGAGAATCCGAGGTGCGGGTACGATCTAATCTTGTAGGCCGAGCTGCTCCACGACCCTCTATTGAATAATATTGGTCGATCTTCCTGGATCAATTAAAACACATTTAACCTTAATTTTATTCATAAGGATAGAGATTACCAAAGCATCATTGTGGGGTTGTGAGATCCCTTCTGCTTCCTCATCATTGAATGATAAAGTGCCTTCTGGCACATAGTCTCGAGTTCGTTTTTCCTTGGTGATTGATACTTTAGTACGTTTGAACATGGGCCCTTGTGGAATATCGACCCCGCCAACGATCATATGAATCACGTGCTGTGGTTCTTCCTGCTCGTTTTTCCTGTTTGCATCCTTGTCTCTAAAATGGTTCTTAGCTCGGTCACTCAAGAATTCTCGAAGGTGACCCTCGTTGAATAGACGGGCCACCTCCTCCCTTAGTTGTCTGCAGTCTTCAGTTCTATGACCATGTGTACCATGGTATTTGCATATTTGATTAGGGTTTCTTTGTGATGGATCGATTTGCAGGGGTCTGGGCCATCTAGTATCTTTGATTCTCCTAATGGATGACACAATACCTGATGCGTCGATGCAAAAGTTGTATTCTGATAATCGTGGTGCTTCTGTGGGATCGGCATATTTATCGAAGCCACTTTTGCTCATGAGCCCTCGAGATCCCTGTCCTCGATCGTTCCTTCGATCATTTCGGATGGGATTGCGTCCTGGGCCGCTTTTTCTACGATCTGCGTTGTATGGTTAATACTGATCTCTGTTCGACCGGGGTTCTCTATCGATATAACTTTGAGTTCTGGCAATGGGCATGTTTGGATAAACGGAACCGGAAGGGGTCCCCAATTGATCATCCTCGACTCTGATTTTTTACTGGTACCGATTATGTACATCGTCCCAGGTTACCGCTGGATATTCAATCAAATTCTGTTTTAGTTGTCGTGATGCCATCGAACTTCGTTCGTTCAAACCCTGAGTAAAGGCTTGAACAGCCCAATCATTTGTGACCGATGGTAGTTCCATGCGTTCCATCTGGAACCGAGATATGAATTCCCTCAACATTTCGTTGTCTTTTTGTTTCACCTTGAAGAGGTCCGACTTCCTAGTTGCAACCTTTATCGCTCCGGCATATGCCTTTATGAAAGAGTCTGCAAGCATGGCGAAGGAATCGATGGAATTAGGCGGCAAATTGTGGTACCATATCATTCCTCCTTTCGATAAGGTTTCTCCAAATTTTTTCAGTAAAACAGATTCAATCTCATCGTCTTCCAAGTCATTCCCTTTTATTGCGCATGTATAAGAAGTGACATGCTCATTAGGGTCGGTGGTCCCATTATACATAGGAATTTCTGGCATTTGGAATTTTTTGGAATAGGTTTCGGTGCCGTACTTGGAGGGAAAGGATTTTGTACAAATTTCTTTGAATCCGTACCCTTTAGAATCGGCGGTGCCCCCGGTATTTGGTGAACCCGAGAGTTGTATGTCTCTACTTTCTTGTCATTTGCCTCGATTTTCTTTTCTCCCGATTTAATCCGTTTAGTGAGCTCCTCAAACATTTTCATAATGCCGGGGTCAGTCCCTGATTCGTTGGCATTCGACTTTTCTGGCACAGGCTCGGTCCTTTGAACGACTTCTGGTTCGATCCTACTCAGTGTACGGTGTTGATTTTGTAGTTGTGCTATAGCGGCATGTTGAGCATGTAACATTTCGAATATCAATTGGAGGCTAACTCCACCATCTTCTCCGCTCTACGTACCTCGACCACCTGATCGAACTTCCTTGCGTATACTATCTTCGGGCTCAACGCCCAAATTTGCATTTAGGGAGACATGTGAACTGACATCGATGGGATTTGCAATTTGTGCTCCCTCGAGGTCGGCCTGAGGCACCTCGATTCCTGGGGCGGCTATGTTGTCGTTTTTCCCGTGAAATCCGAGGTTGTTGTCACCATGTGTAGGTGCTGCTTGTGAGTTTGACATATTTATCTTGAAAACAAAGTTTCTTACGAGAACAAGTATAAAGCAGTGTGTGTTATCAGAATCAGTATTAAGCAATCACTATTATCTTAAGCCCCACGGTGGACGCCAAACTGTTTACCCTTAAAATTGGATAACAATTAAACTTATAGTATGGCTCTAAGAACACGTGATTTCACTTAATACCAATTGATAAATAAGAGGATTAATAACAGAAATAAACTATAAAGTAAAGCAAACTGGTTGATGCAAGAACAATTAAAATATAATAAGCTGATGAACAATCGTATAAACGAGAAAGAAAATTATATTGCTTTTATCTCTGTGAACCGTGGTCTACAAATGATTAGGACCTCCCTTTATATAGTAGAGAAATCCCACTTATGGTATAGTTCTAATTACAGAAGAAAATCTCATGATTAGCTAATTAACCATTTCTGATTTGATCCGTTTCGAGATTTACATCACGATCCTCGACCAGTCGCCGAAATTTATGCCGTGATCTTCGACCAATCACGGATATCTTGCCTTTCCGTTATTATGCTATATTCGATCTTGCTCGATGTCTGTCTCATTTGGCTTCGATCGCTACTAACCTCGATCTCGACAGGTACCTCAGTTCTGAACTTGATATGTAGTCCTCGTGATTTAGTCTGTTCCGTTACGAGGCCGCCATTCGATGCAATCTCCCGGTCTCGGTCAAATAGTAAAATTGGGTGGGCCCGATTTTAACCGTATACACAAGGTACATGATGTATTTTATCCCTTTACCCCCTTTAAAATATTTGTGGTAATCTCACCAAATGATATGGAGTTTAGTATAATTCTAGTCGAATTTAACCTTTTTTTGTTTCTGATATATTTGTTGTTAATCGATTCAGGTCTATGTTTTCACTGTTCGAGCACGACGCTATCCCATTATTGCTCTGCAGTGGCGCCCGGAGGTACTATCTTCGGACACTGTTGTCTGTATTTCTAAATATAGAAAAGTATCATACTTTTTTAGATAGATGAAAAAAGGAAAGTGAATCAGATAAAAATTGAAACGAAAGAGTATTCCTTTTTGTGCTTTTGGCTTTGATGCTTTTTCTAGTTAAATATATGATCACATTTTTGTGGCTGCTATATAGGAGTACATAGTAGGTTTTTGACAGACAAGCATGAGTTAAATTTTTTATATTTAAACGGAGAAAAATGGTCGTTGAAGATTCATATAATCATATAGCCAAACTAACTTATTTGGGACTAAAACATAATCCTTTGTTCTTATATACACCTGAAATGATATAGCAGAAAAATATTTTTGAATGGGCTTCATCACAAATTCCACATACCGAGGATGCAATTCAAATAACTCAACACGTTGCTAACTATTTTGTCAGTATCTTTGATACTTTCTATATTATATATTGATTATATATATATATTATACATGGATTACGCATTGGATGAATGGCTATTGAGGTTAATTCTTCTTCTTCTTTTTTCTTCTTTAACTCAACTTTATTTTGTCATTTCTAGTTACTGTTGAACTTCTTGATTTGCCTCTTCTATTTATTTGTTTATTTTTCTTTGTAATTTGCAGTGAAGCTAGAAAATCTTCTAATAACCCAGCGGCTAACAAAGTACATGGAAACCTCATCTACAATTACAGTCCCACTTATGCTGGAAAGGCTGGGTAAGTTCATAACACCATCTAACCTGGTTGAAACTCTTGGGAATTAGCAGGACGAAATTCAAGATTTTCATGCTTTTTATTGTACTGTTGGTGGGGTTTTGATGAATTCTACCTCTTCACCCCCCGTTCTGCCTCGAGCTCTTTGTAGATGCAAGTGAACTACAAAATCATCGACCAATTGCCACGTTATTTTCTTCTATAGCTCTATGTTTACTTTTGGCCTCCTTGAACTCTAAAAATAAAGAAAGATTCTGTGAATGAAAAAGTTTCTGATATATTGAATTCATACCCTTTGTCATCATCTCCGGTGCTCTATTGATATACATAAGAAAGAAATAAGAATATTCTCTGCTACATAAAAATATGTTAACTAATCTTATCCAAATATGTACTACCTATTCACTAGAATACAAAGAATGAAAAATTGGTATATACAAAACTATCCTTTTAGAAGCTGCTGGAATAAAACACTTGTCCCTATTTATATCTGTTTGATGAAGGACACATGGATCCTTTAGCTGCATTGGATGAGCACATGTTTATGTCAACAGATACACTTTTCAAATAACACTTATCTCCTTTTAACTCATTTATCATCGAATATTTCCCCTTCTTCTCCAAATATTTTACTTTCTCTTCCAAACAATGTAAGACATCACCATTCATTGATTTAGCTCNAGGGCTTTAGTGAAAAGATCTGCAATTTGAGAAGAGGAAGGTATAAAAGACAGAAATTAAGCCATCGAGCAATTTTTCACGCACAAAATGGCAATCAAGCTCTATATGCTTGGTACGTTCGTAAAAGATCGGATTTTTGGCTTATGTGTATAGCCGACTGATTATCGCAATGAAGAAGAACCGGTGAAGAAGGTGGAGCCGATAAATCGTGAAGAAGACGGACTATCCAGCTGAATTCAGCAACAAGACGCCGCATAAATCGATATTCTGCCTCTGCTAAAGAAAGAGCTACGACTCGCTGCTTCTTGAATTTTCATGAAATTGTGCATCCTCCGAGACTCAAGAAAAAACCACTCATGGATCTTCGCGTATCAGAACACGATGCCCAATCAGAGTCGCAATAAGCCAAGAGCTGAAATAATGCAGTAGGCGATATAAAAAGATCAAGTCCGGGATCACCGCATAAGTATCTCAAGGTATGTAGAGCTGCTTGATAATGCCCAGTGCAAGGAGATTGCATATGTTGACTTAAATTTTGGACAGTAAAGGAAAGATCCGGCCTAGTATTTGTCAAAAAATTTATATTGCCCAAAAGCCTGCAATATATAGTTGGATCATTCAAAGGAGATCCACAATTTGTTGAAATTTTGCTTGTTGGATCCAAAGGAGTAGAAACTAGATGACTATCCAACCAATCAAATTCAGATAAGAGTTCAAGTGCAAACTTTCGTTGAGTGATTACCAGTCCTCCAGATTCTCGAAGGAGTTCTAATCCCAAAAAATAATGAGCCTCCCCCAAATCTTTTATTTTGAACTCAATGTCAAGAAACTGCTTGATCTCACTAATTTTTGCTTGATTGTTTCCAGTTATCAGAATATCATCGACATAAACCGCAAGGATAGTGATCAAATTTCCAGTGTTCTTAAAGAAATGGGAATAGTCATTCAAAGAATAAATAAATTCCCTGGTTCCCAAAGCTGAAGATAGTTTTGCATACCATTGATGCGAAGCCTGTTTTAGTCCATATAATGATTTGCGAAGCCTGCAAACATGTGATGGAGATGGGGGAGTCAAACTAGGGGGAAAACGCACATACACTTCCTCGTCTAAGTCTTCATGGAGAAATACATTGTTTACATCGAGCTGAAATAAAGTCCAATTCTTTTTCACTGCAATACTTAGAATGCATCGAATTGTTGTCATTTTCACCATCGGAGAAAAGGTTTCGGTATAGTCAATTCTTTCTCTTTGGATATCCCATCTTATAACTAATCTTGCCTTTAATCATTCCAAAGAGCCATCAAATTTTAGTTTGACCTTGTATACCCACTTGTCGGGCAACTCTTTTCTTCCTTGTGGAAATTCTATTACCTCCCAAGTGTGATTAGATTCAAGTGCTGTAAATTCCTTTGCCATGGAATCTCTCCATCCTGGATGTACTACTACCCGCTGGTAAGAGGTTGGTTCCACTATTTGACATATAGAAGTAACCATGTCCTTATTTTGTTATGTGAGAGAAGAGAAAGAAAACGAGTGGATAGGAAGCAAAGGGGGATCAGGAGAAATCACTTTCTAAGAAAAATCACATATATAATCTGATAAATACTGAGGTACACTGTGTGGCCTGTCAGACCTTCGCAAAATAGTCTCTTGCTCTAAGGATAACAATTCAGTTAAAGGAGGAAAGTTGACAGGCGACAAAGTAGAAACATTAGGACTTAAGATGGAGTCAAATTGATTAGTTGAAACGGGAGAATTAGAGGATTCTAAAGAGAGAGAACTAGACTGGATAGGAGAAGAAAGTGTAGCTAATATAGGATCTGACAAGTGCAACACTGGTTGCACAGTTTGTTATTCCCGTCAATATTGCTGTATTTGTAAATAATAATTCTGCAAAATAAAAGTTAACGTAATGAAACAGTAATTAATTCGAGCCCACTGAATTCACAGTATTTCCTTAAGGAATTTAATCCCCTCCTAGTACCCAAGGTAATGGATTATTTCCTCCCAGGATAGAACGAATCACACACTGGTGTAGCGGTACTTCAAACCCCAGTGTTTCAGCGAACACAAAGTTCGGTAGCAAATCACACTTACAGTTGCTTTGTTTGAAGTTAAAAACAATGCAGAACGAAGGAGTAGAAACTCAGAAAATCGTATGGAAATGCTGAGAGGAAGGAGTGCAATGTATAGCCAAATCTGTTGAGTGATTTCAGTTCGTGTCTTGTGTGTTGTGTGTTGAGTGTCTTTCTTCAACATCTGCTGCACATATATATAGCAGCCAGTGTTGAAGAA